CATACCATAGACGCAACAATGTCTGTGATTTTTTAATATAATTTACTTAGTTTGATGGAAATAAACCAAGTTATTGGTACTTGTTAATCAATTGAAAATATAGATATGGGTACAAAATTATGTGCATGTTCGGTTTTTTAATTAACTCTTTTTAACTAATTTTGATTTTTGAACCGACACGGAATTCCAAACAAACAGTAGCGGAACATAATGACGAGCAAGTTAATTTAGATGTAGAAATGAAGAATGCGCAGAAGGGGCATTTAAATTTTTTTTATTTTTTCGTTTAGTATGACGAAATTGACTGTATTCTAATTAAAACCATCAATTTCGATTTACGTAACACAAAATTAATTATCTTCCAAATTTTTTCTCAATATGTAATACAGAATTAATTGGGAAATTATTGTTATTCTTGTGTTATGTCTTGTAGAAATTATAAAAATGTGATAATCAGTCACGATTTTATAATGCGAATTAAGCTAATATAACCTAGCCTGGCCCTCACCTAACTTAATATTACATCATGGAAAAATGTTGCCCAAACATTCATTTAGTTAGGATAGAGTTAAGTTACTTAGAATTTTCTGCACGATAATACTGTATCTTACGTATTATAAAATAACTGGAAAAAAATAAATTTTGTGTTACATATCGCGAAATTAATAATTTTTCATACGAAAAAACAAAATTGCTTTAATGTTTTACAGCATTGTACATTTAACCAATGCAAAATTTTAAACAGACATTGTGGCGTATAATTGGTGTTCCATACTAAAAAGAGATAATAAAAATTTCGACTAGTAGTTTTTCTGACTAACAATAAGAATAACGCGATCTATAAAACAAGCTTGCTATCTAAAATACTACAGGAATGTCAGAGAGATCTTGAACTGGAATTCATTCAAAGGAGTAACTTTATTGCGATCGATTGTCGCAATACGGTTACTCGGTACAACAATTTACAAAACATTATCATATCTGTGTTGCCCATATATGGCCCTCTTTCCTACGGAACTTAAAAAGTTTCGGTTGCGACTCATGCCCTCTTTCTGCTTCCGTCTTGCAATTTCTAACAAAAGTCGATTTCTGAGAACGTCCAAGGAGTTGACGAAGGAGAGCGATGGACTCAGGTCGGGATCAGTGAGACCGTCTCTTTTTATTCTCTCAGCTTCCGGAAAAGGCTGTAATAAAGAAAATCGTTTTTAATTTCATGATAACAAACAGGAAATAACGAAACTTTTATACTCCGATTATATGAACCTTTTTCAGGTGGAAGAACCACTTTATTAGACAAAAACCCCAATGTTTCATCCTTTAATTGAGGACTCTCAAGGAAATTGTCGAGTCGAAAAATGAACTACAAAATCAGCTTTCCCTTATTATAGCAGTGAAAGTAAATTTAAAAAGTGGTATTAACAACCTATTGTTCTAGAATTTAGTCTAATAATTTAACTTTTTAAAAATTTAACTTTGTTTAACTATCATATTTTAAAATCAGTTGTAAAATTGATCAAACAGCTCAAAATATATAAGTTGTTAATATTGTGTTTTAAATTTATTATCTACCACTGCTATATTCTTATAAGGAAAAAACAACTTTGTACTTTATTTTTTGACTCAACAGCTCTCTATCAAAGATGAAATATTGGTGAAAAGTTCATATATTGGGAGTATACAGTTGATTAAGAAAATAATTAATAATAAATTAAGGACAATATGAGTACTTATACTAAAATTATCAGTAATCTTGCGAGCACGAAACTTTCATTATTTATTTATTACCTATTTAACATAAATATTATTGAGTCTAGTCCAATGTGGGGCGGGGATATCATATGTTGAATTTTAGTAAAATAAAACTAAGTGAATCGCATGTGAATCCTTCAATGGAACTAACTATTTTTGTTGCGTGATTTTTATTGTTTTTAAACATATTTTTCAAGAAACTGTGGTACACATCAAAAATTTAGTTTCTATTCATTAGCCAATAACTTTTTTGAAATATACGTACATATGTATCGTATTATTGTCATTGTTTTATTGAATATTCGTATTCATAAATAAAATGGAGGCCTCAATGTGTATGTATAATAGAAAAAGATAATGGCAAACTGTGGTTTTTGGCATTTTTTGCGAAGTTATTGCCGAATAATAAGAATACGAAAGGATCCATCATGCTTTTGCTTTTCAACTAGAACGTGTTGTTCGTTGTGTTATTGTTGTTGATGAATTGATACATTTATGAAATTATCAAAGAGAGATATTTACAATGTTAAGGTACCTTTACCATTTTATGCTACTCAATTGCTTTACATGATATGAATTGCTTAACAATACAATAGTACCTACTACGTAACTTATTATAGTTGATCGTAAAAGATAGATAAATTTAGTTGTTTTTGTTTCAGGTCCTTACTACCTGTCAACTACTGCCTCAACCATTTTGATTTTCCTTCTACAGCAGATTCCTTGGAAATCAAGGTAGGTACTTAAAGTATTTGCAATTGTTTATTTTAAACCAATTCAATTATTTTAATCAATAGGTACAATTAGATAACGAAAATAGTATAATATACCTTTAAGTTTTAATAGGTAACTTCCAATATTAGCTTGCGCATTCAAAGTTAAATTGTGGCATCCATTTTAATTAGGTCAAAAGATCAAAAGAAGGAATGTGTTTTTATGAGTGTTATTTACCTGCTGTTTTCTATATTTACTACTTTTGTATACTCTTACCTCTTGTATTCTATATACTCATCAGTATCAGGATGAATTTTTTTTTTCATAGAGCAAAGGGGATCAAGATAAAATGCGAGTAAAAGATTTCTTACCTACCGGAAACTAGAGTAGAACTAGATGTTTTAAGATGGGGAATACACTTTTTTTATGTACATATTTACCTACATGTATACCTGCGAAAAATACAATGAGTTTCGAAAACCGAAATTACCTAACATCTACTCTACTACTAGTTTAGAGCTTCCCTATTTTTTGCTAGCCTACTGACCCCCTCTAGAAGAAAAATAATCTAACACCTAATTCGCAATTTTAATTTAAATATGGAGGGCGAAGCGGGCTACCTAAGATAAACCCAAACTTTATTAAAATTAAATAGTTTAAATTTTTTTCTTTTAATGATGCCTATTTGAAGAAATTTTGACTTTCGTCCTCGCTCTCCATTTGCCTCTAGACCCGCAATTGCTCCCATGGAAGGCTCTAGTGTATTAAAGGTCCCTGTGGGAATTTCTGTACTAGACGATAGGTAATACCTGAAAGGATTTTTCGTAACTTAAAAGGATAAGTGCTATGCACCGAGGACTTAAGTTAATTACGTTACAGAATGTGGCGATGATTATAAACCTTCTTCTACCTCTTTCCGCATTAAATTTCGAAAAATCCTTACAGGTGTTATTATCCAGTAAATAACAAGTAGTGGATACGTGTTAAAAATTTGAAACTAATCGGATAGTTTTGGTTTTTGGAACTCTAGCCTTGCATTTTTTATTAAGAGACAGTGGCACTTCAGATGACGAACTTAATTCGTTTACTGACTCAATTGTGTAGGTATCTGCGGTACCTTTTCCTGTGTTTGTATCTAGGGAAGTGACCAAACTCATATGTTTCTGCGTGAGTGTATCGAAACATGGAATACTGTTTCCCCTACCTTCAATCTTTTACCTTACAAAATAATTTTTTCTAAATAAAAAATCTTATTTGATTTTTCTCTTCGTCCCTGCTTTTTAACCTAAACTTTTTGGTATTATCCTTGCTTTCTATGACCATAATCCTCCGATATAAAGTCACATGTCAATCCTTTTAAATGCTTAAAAGGTGCCATCAATCTAAACTCTCATTTAGGTTTTTTTTTTAAATTTTTTTTTCATACCTCACTGTCGTAATTATTAGATTCCAATTCGCTAAGTAAGTAAAATCGAGGATCCTTAACACCATTCCATTCATCGTTCGGCTTATATTTGGCAGCAAGACGAGGTATCAGATAAGAGACAGTTTCTCGGTCGGGTCTTAGATCTAGAGGGCGTAGTCGTCGTTCGAGTATGTTCGTTGTCGGTTCATAGGCCTTCGTCGCTGCGATCAAAGTCGCGCATACTGCGTATAGAAACAGCATGTGCATATTATGAAACAGTCTGAAACAATAAGAAAAAAGAATATTTATAAGGTAATTTTCGTGTTAAACTACAAGTTAATGATAAGAAATAAATATTCTGGCTGTAATAACTCACACTAAAAATCAAAACTCATCAAAATGGCATTTTTCGTTATTCGGCTTTGAGTAAAAGAATTTTGAATTTACCAAAAAGTAGACTTGCGTAGGCTCTTCCTCTAAACAACATTTCTAAAAAGTATAAAGTACATGCCCTTTTAATGGAATTTATTTATTTATATATTTACTATTAATATTATAGTACCGGTGCTGCCCTTGTAAGCAGGGCCCGACCTAGCAATTTAGCCTCTCCGGGAAAAAATATTTGCCGTTCTTTGCAACGACACCATATGCCATGGGCATGCTATTCCAGTGATGAGAGGGTGCAATTTTTGTTAGACTACGCGACCTTGTGAACGATTATACCAGATTTCATAAGTGCATGTATGTGAGGAAAATGAGTCGTCAGCACAGAACATTATTAGTAGGAGTCTCTAGAAAACCGAAAAAGTAATATCTGTACTTTTGGATACATATATATAGACAAGCAAATTAACTTGGGGAATCCCCTAAAACCAAAATTAAAATTCCCCAAAAAAATATTATATTGTCCACATAAATACGGAATATTGGAAATACTTCCCCCCCCTAGATTGGAATCCGTTTGTAAAATATGACCAATCAATGGTTTTAAATAAAACGTCGGAAAAGCTATGTAACGGATTTATTTTTCGGTATTTTTTTTGTACAAACTATTAAGACGACAGGAAAAAATGTAGAACTTGTATATACGGATTACCGATTAAAACCCACTAATATTAACATTAACGAGTTATTTATTAATGTTATAAGTGGCAGGTAGTTCGTTTTTTTAATGGCCCTTTACGTAAATTGTTAGAGAGCTGTCATCTTCCATTGATCGTTTGCATGTTAAAGGATTTGCGTTTCTTTTTTTGAATTTGTATTTCTAATTTTTTTTTTAATTTTATATACTACCATTGTTTTGTCTTGGTTACGCATAGCTACTTCCTCTATACTTCGTATTGATTCGTTAGTTGTATTTTTTGATTCGGCAAATTTTTACCCATTATTTTGTTATTATTATTCTGTTCCTTCCTGTTTTTCATTATCATATAAAATTATTGCTTTAATATTTTCTGGCAGTGTGTTTTCAATCAGGCCCTTTATTTTATCTATTATTAGTTGCTGTTCTTCTTCTGATTCTTGTTCAAATTCTTTCTGTTCTATATCTACTGGGTTAATGTTTCTTGCATTGTTATTATCTTCTTCTCCTTCTATATCATCTATTTGGTGTTCATTTTTTAATTCTTTTTCATTTTCTGATTCTTGTATTTCTAATTGTGTATTTTCTTTCTGATCTCCTTCTATGTTATTTGCTTTTGTGTTATTTGAAAAATATTCTTGTTCTTCGATATTCTGTTCCTCTATTTCAGTTTGTTGATTATCTAAATTTTGTTGAAGTTCTGTTTCTTTTAATTCGTTGTCTTGTGTTATTTGTTCCTCTTTTAATTTATCTTGTTCTTCTTGTATGCTTATAATTACGTTTTCGCGCTCATGATGTAGTTTTGATGAAAGGTATATATTCCACAAAACGGCCATTAATTGTCCTGCCAGGATCCGATAGTTAATTGGTACAAATGTGAAATTGATTATTTGAAAGAAAGGCCACAGCTTGTAGCTGTCAAAAAGGACTTCTCTAAATGTTTTCCAAAAAATTTCTCTATCTCTTAATCCTAGGGTGAGTATTAACATGAAAAAGAAGTAAATTGGAGAAAATACGAGTTGATCTAGTAGCACTTTTTTTATCAATATTTGGCTCTCTCGGCCATCTCTAATTGCATATTCAAGGTATTTGTACCAAAAACATAGCACTGGTCCCTGGAAAAAGTTTTATCTTTGTTTATTGAAATATCAATTAAGGATCAAATATAAAGTATCGGTTAAAGTTCTGGGTTTTCATTTTAAATATTTCTATTTCTCTAATCACTGTTCTTTGACAATTATTGATTATTAAATATTTTGCATTTTTCTGTCAAAGTAGCCCTGAAATTTCGTAAACAATAATTTATGAAAATAGTTAAAGAAAAATAAATAGCTGTAGGAATGACATGACTAAACTGAAATTTATATATTTTTTTCTCTTTTTAATTTAACTTCTCAATTAAATTATGGATGTGGTGTTGTAATGATTTCTATTCGTTTATAAATTGCAATAATTTGTTTTTGTCACAAAAAAACGGTAATTTAACTCTAGTACCAGTTATTTTGAGAAACACCAAATAATAAAGTAATTAGGACTACCAATAAATGTGTGGGGTTTTACTCTGTTTATTAACCATTAATTTCTTTTATTTTTATTTTTAAATATTCCCCTTAGATTTTCAGTTTTACCTACACTGTAAAAAGTTCCCAGTAATCCAAATCTAAAAGTACGAAACCAGTTTTTTTGCAGTCCTTCCATTTTTTGGGCAATTAAATCGCTTGCCATCATTATTATCGCGGATTGTGCACATTGGGTATAGTAAGGATGTGTTAAAAGACGTTCAGTGTAAATGTCTCTAANATTTTCAGTTTTACCTACACTGTAAAAAGTTCCCAGTAATCCAAATCTAAAAGTACGAAACCAGTTTTTTTGCAGTCCTTCCATTTTTTGGGCAATTAAATCGCTTGCCATCATTATTATCGCGGATTGTGCACATTGGGTATAGTAAGGATGTGTTAAAAGACGTTCAGTGTAAATGTCTCTAAGTTTTGCTGGAAATTCACTGATACTTTTTTGATTTACGCGCCCAATGTTTTTTTGCAATATTTGTATTAGAAGAATAAGCCGCTTGTAGGACATATTTATACTTTTAATTTTAGTACAATGTGACGAGAAAATTGACATAAGGGAAATATTTTGTCCCATAGAGAGAAAATGGGTTGTATCATAGGGAGAAAATTCGAAATTAATTAGTCTTGTCAAATCAAATATTTACACCAGAAAAAAGAATTTATTTGCAAAGATAACAAAACCAAATTATGTCTTTTTAATTACATTAAAATATTTAAAATTTTCCTTAGGATTCGTGCCTGTACCATATTCGGTTTTCTTGGTAGGTATATTACAAAACTAAACTTACCTATACTTGCCGTTATTTAATAAACTACAGTTTTATTACACTTGTCATCAATAGTTCATTGAACACAAATATATAAACGGAGAAGTTAGTAATAAATCAAATTAGTTCAAGATCAATTTTTAAAAAAATATTTCAACCTTTCGTATCTACACTGAAACGTTATTTAACACCGTATTTCGCCCATACTCTGTGAATACGCACATTCATTGATAAGACATTGACTTTGCCAGTACGAAATGAATTGAATTTTAATAAGCTGCAGAGTAATACGGTCAATGGAAAATTCTCGTCCATTTTACGACGTTATTACGAATACTAATTAAAATATTAAGCTAATGTAGGCAATGTTTATAAGTAAGGCCTGATGTACTTTTAAAAGGTCAATTTGTGTGCCCATTGAATTACATAATTGGGGGTTTTCTGCATTCAGTTTTAGACAACCTTTTGATGTAACGGGAAATCCATCTTATTAATAGACAGATGATGTCACAATTCTTTGCTTCTTACAAAATTGTTTTCTTTTTATTTTTTTTTTACAGATAAACTGTACTTACTTTCAGTACTTTGCGAAACACCTAAGCATTTTTCATTTATATGGGACTAATAATAATGATGTTAGCTTAGAATTCGAAAGAATTAAAAGTGTTTATTAAATAAAATGAAATACAAAATGAACATATGATAAGTTCGTACAAATTCGATCCTCTACAACCGCTGTCTTCGAGAACTGATTCAACTCTCCCCCGCAAGACTGACCGTAATGTTTTTGAGACCCTCGGTCAAGTATACCCTCTCTGTCTCTCTTTACCCCAACGTTGCACGTGTCAATTTTTGTCACTTTCTCACGGTACCTTCAGTCAGCTAATAAAACCGTACGGTTGGAGAGGACGCAGTAGTTTTCTTAAAGTTTATTGCTTAAAAATATTTTGCTTCTTATTCTAAACATACGGATAACAATTACTTAATCCCTTAAAATTACAAACTATTCCTAAATTACTTTAAGCCTACCATAAACTAAAAAGCACGCATTCCCGATACTACATT